GATGCATACCCACACCCACACCCTTACCCACACCCACGCCCTCACCCACACCCACACCCTCACTCACACCCACATCCACACCCCACACCCTCACCCACACCCCATATCCACACCCATACTCCACCCACACCCTTTTTATGCTGTATGTTGTGATTTATTTTGTTTTTTAATAAAACAAACTAGATGATGAAAAAATATAGAATACAAAAAAGCAGCAATTTAATGTGCGCTAGCCGTCAAATAATGAAAATAGCCTAAGTATGAAATATTTATGGGCATGTGTTTTTCAATATTATCGAATTTGAGTTAATATTTTTGAAGATGATACACGTGTATGATTTTATAGCTATTTTCGACAGGATTTTATGCATTTTTTATTTGTTGAATAAGATAACACTTATTGCCACAAGCGTTGGTCAATATGATCAATCATCATGGTGGAATCGATATAAAAATCTCTCAGAAGTAGAAAAAGTTTTTCTCAAGAATACAAAATAAAACAAAGACATTAATTTAGGGTATGAATTTCTTTGCTGGTATTCAAGCATTAAATGAACGTCCAACAGTAAATGATGATGAGCTTTAAAAATATTCGCTTATTTAAGCAACAACACCTTTATGTATATATTCAGAGGAAAACAGCAAAAAACTCCAACAAATTCTGATTTTACAAAGAGTGAATGTCAAAAGTCTCACATTATTTTTTTTGTTTTGGTTCGTATTTCAAAGATAAACAACATAGATTTGAATCGCTTTTTATTTTCGAATAGTGGAGTTCAAGTACTATATGTGTATATGTTTTTGCAATGAATAATCTATGAATCTGACATACAAGAAAGAAAACAAATTTTATTCCAATGGTAAAAAACTACATAAAAAAAGGATAAATTGATATAGCTGTTAGGATTTCAAATAATATCTGAGTAATGCGAAAATCGAATAATTTTTTTGTTTGATACGGGAGAGCGATTCGACCTATATTTCCTATAGTTCCTATTTTTTCAAAAAAGATTCTATATTTCAATCAATAGTCCTATTTTTCCTATATTTTATCAAAAATATTAGAAAAGTTTTACAAAATTTTACTGTACCCTGAGGGGGAGTACGGGGGAGTTTCGCAAAGCTATCCCCACCCCCGGTCATCATTTTCGAGAAAAAAAATAAGTTCTTTTTGTGTTGGTTTTGGAAGTCGTTTATGGATGGTCCCTCCGAATTTTCCTATCTTCGGGACATCCCTGCGAAAACCTATATAGGAATTCCCAAAGTTCAAAATTTCGTAATCGAAGTCCAGCGAAAATCTTGAGAGAAGAAGTTAACAAACCAAGATTTTGAGCGGAAATAATGCAGAAAAAAATCCTATATTTTTGCCATTTTTTATGGAAAATCCTTTATTTCAGAAGAACTTAATCCTATAAGGATTCTATTTTTTTAAAAACTGGTAATCGGAGGCCAGCTTTGATATTGTTTACATGAATGGATAAATCTCAAGAGGCTCTACAAAACTGGATGTGGGTGTGGGTGTGGGGAGAATTCATTCTGCATATCTTCACCCACATCCACACTCAGACCCATACCCAACAACACTCACATATTCACCTCCACCCACACACTCATACTCACACCCACACACCCGCACCTACACCACCGACCACACCCACATCCACAACCACATGCACCCACACACACCCACCCTCACACCCCATACGCACACACCCGCACCCTACACCCCACACCCCACACTCTTATTGACGAACAAAATTAGGTTTTTCAATAGAGACACATTGCAGAGTTCTCTTTGGATAATACTTCAAAACGGAAACGAATCAAGTCGCATGACAACGAAAAAAACTGAAGGAAGCTCCGATTGAAATTTTCGAAATTAAATATGCATAATAATTTGAAAGTTATTTTATTCTCATTAATAAAAAGAAATTTTCAATGTTGACAATTAGAAAATAGATCTAGGTATTCGAAATCTGAGTCTCTGAGTAAGCGTTGGGGCAGACTAAAGGATCAACTACACCCACATGGGTACTTCAACTTTCACCCTTGCTTCAGATGTTAACGATGTATTAGTTTTTCACAATTGAAAAACATTCAATATCACTGTAAACGAGATTTTTTGTTTTTACTCGATTATCGATTATATTTGTTCGAATGAAAGCAATCACTCAGACACCCTGTATACAAATACAGTTACTTTCTGCAAATAATTCAACAATATGATGCACTTCAATCTGTGCAAACAATTGCTCTTTTCAAAACTGTTCTCGGTACTTTAAACATTAAAGACTTCTATTGAAACGTAAAACCTGAATTGGCATGCGCAAATAAATCAGTTATAAGAAATGCATATACTTCTTCAAGTATTTTTGAAGACAAATAAATGTGTTTGGCTCTACTGTTCTTTTGTGTTAATGCACAAAAACAACATTTCGAAAGTTCTCTAAGATTTTATTCGGAATAAGTATTTTTCTTGGTTTTAAAATGCGCAAATCTGATCGCAAAGACGATAAAATGCTTTGCGAGAATATATTGTCAATACGCGAAACATGAGTAAAAAACAGTACTGTTGACTTTCGTCGATGAATATAAACAAATACACCTCAGGCATATTTTATTTTTCTGACTCAGCTCAAAGATTCGTCGTATTTAAGAATTTGTCGCTTACCAAAATCATCAGTATATTGACAAATTCTTACTTCTCAAATGGACAGAATTCAGTGTCTTTTATATATTATTGCATTGATGATGTACGTAGTTTTATAAAAATTAACTTACGATCTGAGATCAAATTCTTTTTAGACTTGTTGTTGCTGATACCGAAGGTAAGACTAAGGAATTCATTTTGCTATGCTCAAAACAATTCTTCCATATACATAAAATTCACTGCCACTATAATCGTTCTAATTTCATCAGTAAAAGATTGGATTTATTAAATTGCTTCGTTTTAATCGATCATTTTAAAGAATTACTCCCTAGTTTATTCTTCTAAGAAATCTTTTCTAGGTCAAGATGCATCAAATTCTAGACCTCCTAAATGTAAATGCTATCCATCGTTAGAGTATCAAGGAAAAACAGTTCCATGTTCAATGAATTTGAATTGTTCATGTTTGCTTATGACGAAGACATCGAGCGGACTGTGTGCCGATTAGAGGTGTCACCGTTCCCGTTCCGCCGGGTTCCGTTCCCTAGGAACGAGAACATGTTTGAAAATTAGTTTGCGAGCATTACCCAGTATTCTAAGATACTCAGATGTCTCTATTCTCTTCGTTTATATCAAGCCACCATGGGTTTCCGGGTTCCTAGGAACGAGAACTCACAAGTGCTCTACGTTCCCAGGTACGGGAGCGCGCTAGGAAATCGATTTCTAAACATTAACCAATAATTGAAGATGCTGATATGTGGCTATTTTTTTCATTTTTATCGAATCATCATGGGTTCCTAGTTTCCAGGTACGGGAACCCGCTCTAGGCTCGCCCTTCTCGGGTAAGGAAACTTGCATCGCATATCTATCAATAGGCAGATTTCAAAAAACGAAACTTCGATACTAAACGTTCGAAGTTCGGAAGCTGCAACCATAGATAATGTAACCTTTCGAACTTAATCATATAGTGATACACATGTTGATATATCTTTTATGCCTTATTGTTTTCGTATAAAAACATCACGATTACTCGATAGAAAGAAAGACCATGTTGATGATGAAGCACTCAAACAATATCGTGTTAATCTATTAAAAAATGAGAATAATTAAAGGTTAAATTACTTGGCTAAGCACAAAGCAAATTAAACTTATTGTCATTTTGGTAGGTATTTCGACATAGTCCGAATGCTCCTAATGTTGCTGTATTTTTGAGTAATATTTTATAATCTCATTAGTGTCGCTTAATTTTTTTGTTGAGTATCTTCACTTAATCAAACATACGATTTTACATATTTTCACATTTCCAAGCTGTAGAAACACGGATCTGTAGTATGAATTTCTAAAATTTGAATAGCTTCGCCATATATGTGCATGCACCACAAGACGATTTAAAGAAAAAGAAATTTCATCAGAAGTCTTGATGCACAAAAGGAAGATATGAAGCAGAAATAAGTGAATGAGCAGGTATTGTTAGTAACGTTGAGCGATTGTTTTTTAAATATCGTTAGTTACTATAAAACATTAACATTTCAAATCAAATCGAAAATTCGATGACGTTTCATGCTTATCTTGGTCAAATTCTTATTGACTCAAAATGAAACTTTTAAACTTCTTATTTATTGTCATAGGTTATATCTCGAAGAATTGATGTGATTATGCGAAAATTGAATAACTTTTTTTAGTAAAGAATATAACATTTTTTTTTTGAGTTTTCAAGTGTAACATCAATCGATAACAAATCCACTGATAAAAATATTCATTTTTCAAAAAAAAATATATCATGATAAAATGATCAATGAAACAGTTACTCTAATCAAATAAGAAGCAACACATTTTTATTATCGAATCTATACTTTTCAAGAACTTCGTCCATCATTCAATGTCAGTCAATTTATCTTTTTCTTTTCCAAATTGTCTTGATTTCGTTTGAGCTGTTATAAATGACAATTAATAAGATATAATGACAAGAAGGCAGAAAATTTATTGGAAAACTTGAAAAACACTTTTCAAGAAAAGAAACTTAAGAAGTATACGATGACTGAAATGGGATTCGCTGAAAGTACCTTCGTTCGATTCAGTAAGCAGTATTGCGAGAGTGATACCGGTAATTGCTGTATCAAATTCATATCTTCGTCGTAACCGGAACCAAAGAAGTTATTGAAAAGATATCAGGATATTATATGAAGAGAGCCATCAGTTAGAGTCCTGCCGGGTTGGGTAAGAAAGCTTTAGGGTAGGGGATGGTTAGGGTAAGAAAGCTTTAGGGTATGGTAGGGTTATAGTAAGTTAAATTAGAATAGAATATGGTAAAGACGGTGCAACAAATATTTAAAATAGAACTATAGTCCGTTTAAAAAGTCCGTGCGTGTGACTGGTTTTTGAATAACTCGAGAAAGCAAACAGCTAGAGACCTGCGGTTTTCACCAATCGAAAGAGGAGGAGTTAGAGCGTCTTTTTCTCTGATAATGTGTCAGACGGAATTCTTTTAAAACTGATCATCTTTGAAAAATATAGAAAAGAATGCATGAAAGTGACATCCAATACACATGAAGTTTCGATTATGACCTTTGATTTATATAGAGGGGCTTCAGATCTATATTTCAAGATGCAACGGAAATAGCTCTGTAATTGCGTTCTAATTTTGATCAAACGAAGTCATGTACTTACATGCGCAAATAATAGAGAATTTTGCTGATGTTTTACTACGTTTTTGCAATTTTTGTCAAAACAGCTGGATACTTCGAGGCAAATGTAATGAAACGCAAGGAAGCATATTATGTTTTGAACTATATATCTGAAGTCCCTCTATCTAAATCAAAGGTCATAATCGAAACTTCATGTGTATTGTATGTCACTTTCATGCATTCTTTTCTATATTTTTCAAAGATGATCAGTTTTAGAAGAATTTCGTCTGACACATTATCAGAGAAAAAGACGCT